TTGTCCGGGCGCCTTTCCTCTCCCTGTGCTCTGCCTCTCCAACATTTGGTTTCTCCAAAGGCTTCCCAGCCAGCATGGCACAGAGCTGCAAGCTCTGCTCTTGCCAGGGCATCCCTGCACATCCCTCGGCAGATGGGGTGCAGGGAGCCATAACCCCCTGCTCCCCCACAGCGGCACGGTGTGGGGCCGGGTGATCTCGGGGTGCTGCCATGCGTGGGAATGGCTCGAGCCCGGCCGGGGCGGCTGGAGCAGCCTCTTCAGCCCTGGCCCTCCTTGGCAGCCCCAGCTGTAGGCCTGGAAAGCGAGGTAGGAGAACATCCCTCGTGCAGCAGCCCTTGCTGGCTCATCTCTTCTATCCACCACTTTGTGAGAGAAGCGGAGGAACCGGGGGCAGCTCGGCCCAAGGGCTCTGTAGGGCAGAGCAGGACCAGCTTAACCCCTTCCCAAACGCTGCTGAAGCCAGGTGGGTGGAAGGGTCAGGGATGGTGGCTCCAGGCTCGCCAACAGCCCCGCTCGGGCTTGGGCTCAGCCTCGAAGCACACCCAGCACAGCCTCTGCAGCGAGTGGAGCCGTCGGCTCTGCAGCAAAAGCTTTTTGGGGTCTCGCCAGGTTGCCGCTCACTGTGCTGGTGCCCCGTCCTCGCAGGCCCCGCTGCTGCCATCCCTCCTGCTAAACTCTGCCTTCCTCTTTCTCTGCAGAAATCCCTTTGCCAACGTCCAGCTGAAGCCAACGGTGACGAACGACCGCTCGGCTCCGCTCATCAGCTGATCTGGGAGCGCTGGTGCCCGCCGTGCCACATGACACTCGCCGCCTCCTCCTCGCCGCTGCATGTCCGGCTTCCCAGGACTTCATTTTTAGGCAAAGTTTATTTAATCCTGCTGCTTTGAAAGCCAAAGGCTACAGCTAGTGCCCTAGTTCTCTCTTCTCTAGACCCAGCTTATTCCTCCCGGTGGCAGAGGGTTAAACCGCTGCCATGTAGCCTGTCCTTTGCCTGCGCAGAACTAGCGTGATGGCAGCCCCTCGTCCCCCGCACTCCCAGCATGTCCCATAGCCGGGTTTGCTTCTAGGCTTAGCAGCAGCTCGCCGTGGTTGGGAGAACAGCCTCAGCTGGAAAGCAGCTCTCCAGAGCCGAGCTGTGCTCCGGGCTCGCACAGGGTGGAGCGGCGATGGCAGAGGGCAGACGCTCCCCGCCCTCCCCCCTGCCTGGCCAGGAGACACCCTGGGACAGGCAGGATAGCCCCAATCCCCTGTGCAAGCCAAGGGGGTGATGGGAGCCACAGGCAGCTCCCAAGCTCCTGCGAGACCCCCGGGCTGGGAGGCGGCAGGACACCGCCAGTGGGGTGCCAGCACTGCAGCGCCTGTGGGGACAGGGACAGCTCTGGTCCCAGGGCTCAGGCAGTGCCAGGTTTCTGTATATAGTAGGGTATTACGGTACTGCTGTAAAATATAAGCTAGAATAACCACTTTTGGAGGTGAGGGCTCTGTTTAAGCATGCCTTGGGGTGCCCGGGGCCATGGGATGGCCGGCGGTTGAAGGGGTGCTCCCCTCAAACAGGCTCTCCCGTCCAGACCTCTTGCTTGGCTGTTTGCTCTTCCTCTATTAACTAGGGCTGCATGAGAGAGAGAGAGAGAGAGATTAAAAAAAAAAAAAAAAATATATATATATATATATAAACACACTTGCTAAGCTTATTGCTGGGGTGTGCACGCCCGAGCGAACTGGTGCCTGGGCCATTCCCGCAGCTCCCGGCTGCCACCGCACCCTGAGCCGAGCCGGCGCAGGACTCGCGTCCCTGCTACGGGAACAGGGAGAAGAGGTTTTCCAGGCAGGAACCACGTCTCCCATGGGCGAGCAGTTGTGTGCCAGGCAGCACGGGGAGGCAGCACCCTCAGAGGTTTTGCCTTTTCCATTGTATTTGTCATTTTGCACTTTTTAATCGCTAGTGCACCGCAGCCCGCTCAGCGGGTGCCTTGCTGAGCGCAAAGAGCCCCAGCGAGTGGGTTTCCATGCAGGCAGGGCTCTTTCCCAGTCAGACGCGATGGCTCATCGCTGCCATATCCCTCCGATGGTTTTTGCAGCTCTGCCGCAGGAAAGCAGCTTCTTCTGCGACCGCCCGGGCTCTGGCCGTGCGCAAGGGTTCTCTGGTCGATGGGCCGCTTCTTCCTCTCCCGGGGCTGGAGCAGATGGATGGGGGGGCCAGACGGGGCAGGGGCGAGGGGAAGGGCTCCTCGGGGTGGCAGGTGAGAGAGGGCTGGGGGCCCACAGCCCGCGGTGGGGGCAGGCCTGGGGTCCCTTCAGCCACCAGACTGGTGGTGTCCTCTTCCAGCCCTGTGACAGGGGCTGGCCCCCGCCCCCCCCCCCCCCCCCAC